GATGGAGACTCAGACTTTTGGGGGGAGGGGGGGAAATGGGCATTTATTGAAACCTTAAAATCTGTACCCCCATAATATGCCAAAATAAAAAAAAATTTGTGAATAAAAATAGCATCAGGCCATAACATAATCTTAAAGCTCATTTGTATCAAACTTTAAAAACTACTAAAGTAAGCTTTGTTATAAAAGTAAGACTTGGTAAACTTATTCTCAGCATAAATATTTCTTCATGATATCCTTAATTATTTTTAATGTGTATGTCTAAGACATTTTATTATTTTGCATTTTAAGGTTGCAGCTACCTGCTATAGTTATAAATGATCAGCACAAATCTTTTATAACTTAACCTTTCAACTTTATTAATATTAATATTTTATATCTAGTTTTATACCTTTTTTATGATTAGAATTCAATATAGAGAGGTTTTATTCATGTGAATGTTAATGACATTTTGAATAAGCTATGGGAAAATTACAATGTAACACTGCTGGATATACAGAATGATTCTTTTAGACACCAAGACTAATATTTTTTAACAATATCTAAAAACATTGTAGGAATAGCTTGAACCATGCTGGCACCAGGGACAGACAGGCATGAAAGATTAATGTAATCTTGCATATAATGATGCACATTCTTACACAAAAAATCCATCTGCAATGTCATGTCAGTCAGCAGAAATCTTTGATGGGTGGATACAGCTGGGCTGTCTCTTCTGGCAGAGCTGCCCTGGAAAATGCTAAATGTGGTTGTGATGCTTGGTGCCATCTGCAGTGTGCCCATTTATCCTGTCTTCACTGGCATTTACAATACTGCATAGGGCATCAGTGACGGTGGAGACAGCGATACGGAATGACAGATTCATTTCCTCGGAGGATCCAGGCTCTGGTGGGCTTCCGTGCCACTCTTCTCGGGTCTGGGTCTCTTATCATTGGTGTTGGCTTAACTTCATATTTTCACATCCAACTCATCCTCATTTTAGTCTAGCAGTTCCAGATACACATTCTTCTGGTTTGTAAATCTTACATTAACCTTTTAACTAATTTATTCACATAAGGTTGCCAGAGCGATTTAATATCAACCGTTCAATGCCAGCTAATATGCCTTATTTTCAAAATACTGCTGCTCCTAAGCCTCTGACTTAAAGGAAATATGTCTTATTTAGGGAATACTAAACAGACAGGCACCAGGATAAATTCTCTAACTACTATGTGTGGGATATCCCCAAATGACTTATGCAGTTGGAGCAAATATATGACCCTCTTTTACATAAAGCTGTAAAACATATCAGGCAACTAACACTTAATCCTCTTTTCCATGATTAAAATATAAATATTCAAGAATAAATGTTGTTTTATGACTTGACCATATGTTTATCATGTTATTTTGCCAAACCAAGTTAAAAAGTATAGATCATTATTTAAAACTTTCACTTTGTGTTTTTTTTAAAATAGTAACAGAATATGAAGGGCATGCTGTGTCACTGCTTAAGGAATGTGAACTCCAGGGATTTGATGGGTAGGTCACATTATTAACCTATATGCATCTTATAATATATGGTTATTAAATTTTTTGTTTTTAGCCACATATTTGGGAACTAAAATTTTAAATATTTGTGATATATGTAATTAGGCTCGATTTTGTCCATGTCTGCATAATAATCATTAATGTTAATATAACATCATCTATCTCTTAGGATCTGGCAGGAAAGCAAAAGGAGGAATCCAATTATAAGTACTGGCAAATCACAGTGTACTACCCTATACTTACCTAATGTGCATACATTTGCATCTATAATTCTTAATTCTGTACTATGTTATTTAGGAAAGCACTGATGGAAGATATATTGGTCATATGGCATAACTATGCTATGATTCTCTTTTGCACATTTACTGATAGTTTTAATAGCTACTCTTTGATTCATTTCTCTGTGATTGGGGTAGATATTTTATAAAAAGAAACACTTCAGAATGAATAAAAGATACTAATTTTAACATCTCATAATTTACTGACTACAGTATAGGTGTTTTGTTCATAGTAGGCATTGGAAACCATTGTTTGCAATACATTGGAGTGTGCAAAGATTCTTCACTGGCATCCAAACATTAGAACCAAGGCAAGTGACTTAAATTTAATAGCCATTTTTAAAAATTAGGGAAATCAATTTGCTAAAGTGCTAGATTGATATGTAGATTAAAACTTATATTCCTTTAAGGAAGAAGATTTTTTTTTTGAAGGGTGGATATTTGAGTTTAAAAAGTTGGTAAGTGTGTGAATTGTGTCACATGGAGATGAGCAGGGGGCAGCAAAAGACAGATAAGGTCAGGAAAGGCAGCTGGGTCTGCACTTCCACCAAAGCGAAAGGCTTTGACCTTTCCCAAGAACGATTAGTGTTAGGGAAGGAAGTGATGCAGTCACATGGAGCATTGGCAGGGCTGTTTTTCAGAAATGCTTAATATTTTTCTTTGATGATGAGAAAACAGCTGGTAAGGAAGTAAGTATACTAAGTAAAATATACTTTTTCAGGAAGGAATTTAATTGTGGGAAGTAAATGTAGGTAGCAATATCATACAAGTATTGAGAATCAAGATTATGAGGTAGGAGATTACTTTAGAACTTTAGAGGTAGACAAACGGAATAATAGGCTACATTCAGGAAATTATCTTGCAAGTATACAAGTTAAGCAAAGTAATTGGGAGAATCATCCACTGTCTACATTAACATGCTGCACAGTCCCAAACCAGAGCTTTCAAGTGTATGAAAGTGGCTGCATTGCAAATGAGTCCTTGCTTCAAAACTTGATTATATAAATAATGACAATAATAGCTATCACAGATATTACACCTATTCTTATGCACCAGCATTATGAAGTATTCTGCTGAATATGTTATTTACAATGTTCTATTGTTAATTATACTTTGGCAAAGATTAAAAAAACCTTTGCAGAATGAAGAGTATTGTTCAAGTGTAGTACGAGTATAGTAACATTTTTCTCTTTACTTGAACATATTTAATTCTTATTTATTTCTCATGGCAGTGTTGTCATTTTGTAATGAGGGGGTAAAAGATATATAGATCCTTCGGTTAAGACCTATATATTTTTTAAACCAAATAGTTTGGCCTAACCATTATTTGAATTGCGTTCCATTATTCAACTGCTTCTAAATGCTACAGTATGGTGATTTATTTCAGGCTTAATAACTTAAAATTTCTAATGGAAGTCATATGTGTTCCAAGATCTTTTACATAGCTCATTTATTCTTGTGGGTTCAGTTTTTTTCAGTAGAAGCTGATATGGTAGTTGTAATAATTATCTTATAAAATGGTAATTTTAAGTACTTAGAATTACATAGCGGGATATATGAGGAGAACAATAGAACAGTTTCTTTGCACTTCAAAAGAACAATTCTCTTATTGGTAAAACTGTTTGAAAATGGAATGTTGTACATTGGTGAGTTTCCTATATCTGAACCTGTTCAACAGTGGCTAGAGGAGCACTTTCTGAGAAATTTATAAAAAAGATTTAAGGATGTGATAAGGTAACCCCAAGATGCTATGTCATTTTGATGAGAGACAACAACACATTCCTTGAAGAACTGCAGCCCAGAGCATCTCTCTCTGACTCTAGCAGAACTATTGATAGGAAGTGATAAGAAATCACCTAATGGTTGGGTTTCTAGATACAAGCTGGAGAGATTGATCAAGAAAGGTTCTATATATAATATTCAGTAAAGCTAAGTGATTTGGTAAATGATGTTTAAGAAATATTTTTTTGCTAAGATTCTGGAGTTTTAAAACAATGAGTTACATAGGTTTCCATGGTGACACATTGTGACATATTTTTAAAGCCAACAGAAACAGTGTATCAGTACTCATGACAGCTGGTGCCCCACTCCAGTGTGTTCTCCTGATCCACTGATAAAATTTGTAGGAGCTTCAGATTCTATATTGCTCCCTATTTATACTGGGCATGAATAGGAAGTTTTGTAAAGGATGAGAAAAGAATGATGATCAGTTGCATAGACTTGAAGCAATACCAGTGGTGTTTATGATTATAGTTTTAAAAATCTATAGCTTTTATGCAATTGTAAATATAATAATTCTTTGCTATTTCACAATTTTAAAAAATGTTGAATTATAGAGTTTTTTTGTTCATTGCTCCATTAACTAGACTCATAATAATCTACATATTATTTGGATAATATTGACACTTTATCAGATTGACTATGATATGTGTACTATTTAGGTTAAAAAAAAACTTTTTAAGAAAAGAAAAAGAACAAAACTCTGAATTGAAGACCCAATAATATACTCAACATTTCATAGATAATATTGGTTGATAGATAAATATACAAACACCCATTTGACAAATCTTATCACTCTTTAAAAAGGGAAATAAGACATTAGCACCCAGTTTAACTTTTCTAGACAGAATCATTCTGTTTGGAGCCACAGCAAGGAGTTTGCTTCTAAAAACAAGATTTGTCACATGTAAAGAATTAGTTCTGCTAAGATTTTATGTAGAGTAACTCTTAAGTGTTAAATTAACTCATTATAAAAGTGGAATGTTTTGGGGTTTTTTTGCCTTTTTTTTTTTTTTTTTTTTTGAGACAGAGTCTCGCTTTGTTGCACAGGCTAGAGTGAGTGCCGTGGCGTCAGCCTAGCTCACAGCAACCTCAATCTCCTGGGCTTGAGTGATCCTTCTGCCTCAGCCTCCCGAGTAGCTGGGACTACAGGCATGCGCCACCATGCCCGGCTAATTTTTTTATATATATATCAGTTGGCCAATTAATTTCTTTCTATTTATAGTAGAGACGGGGTCTCGCTCTTGCTCAGGCTGGTTTTGAACTCCTGACCTTGAGCAATCCGCCCGCCTCGGCCTCCCAAGAGCTAGGATTACAGGCGTGAGCCACAGCGCCCGGCCTTTTTTGCCTTTTTTTATAGTATTCAGACTCTTGTGATGTTTTCATATTTGAGCATATTTCCTAGATTGTGTCATTGTATCTGAACATGATTTTAATGATCTAATAGCTGTCAAATAAATATATTCTTTCCTAATCCATTCAATTTTATATTGATTCTACTGGAAAACTGATTTTTAAAATAATAAAATTCTCATAAGGCTATTTTTATTAGGCTTCATATATAGAAATGGAGTATAAGGAATAATAGTGTAGTCTCTACGGCCAAATTGTCTTATTTCAAATCCCCGTTGTATCACTTACTAGTGGTATGACCTTGGAAAAGTTACTTAAGCTTTCTATGCCTTAGTCTCCTGATCTGTAAACTGAGGGTAATAGTATCTATCACATAAAGTTAGTGTTCAAATTAAATCAGCTAATACATGGAGAGTGCTATGAATAGTACTTAATATACATAGTAATTAGTCACTAAATGTGACTATTTATTGTTATAATTATTTCTATTAGTTTCAAAAGATTTAACATAGAATGTGTAATGACAACATTTCAATTCAAAGGTTTTTTTTTAACAAAAGATGCTCCTAGAAAGGCCCTCTCTACTAACTCTAGCAATGAATTAACATATAAATGATGCTATAATTGTATGCAAAATTCTACGAGGCAAGGGTTGCCATCCTATGTAATTATTATTAGTTAATATATTAGTCCTTTGGTGCTCAGTTAGATTTTTTTGATGACTTTACCTGGTCCTTTTAGGTCACACCCATATGTCAGCATGTAGACAGGCATGCGTAGGAAGTTATATTTTATATTTATACTATACTGGAAATTTCGTGGATATTCTTGAAAACAAACAGGTAAGGTTCAAATCAAACTGTGGTTTTCCCATTTATAAAGATGAGGATATTGCCTATTTCTCAGAATTCTGAGCATTTAATATTAATAGAAAAGAGTAGACCTATTATCTAATGTATAGTTTGTCCTCAGTAGATAGTATCCCTTTTCTTTGAATCAGTGGCCACATTGTGAACTCCCCAGAATCAATTCAGACATAAAAATAATAATAATGCTCCTAATCAAAAATAACCTGGGTCATACCCTGCGTCAATTCTAACCAGAGTGGACCTGAATGGCCCAGGCTGCATGGAACCATGGGTCCTAACCTCAGCTAGGTGCTGGGAGGATGAGAGGAAGGTAGAGGGAATTGATGGAAATGATACTTGCAGCCTCTCTGGTCACCACACTGTAGAGCGCAGGGGTCCTCAAACTTTTTAAACAGAGGGTCAGTTCACTGTCCCTCAGACCGTTGGAGAGTGCGCACTGTGGGCCCGGGAGGAGTCAGCTGCTAAGCAGAACAGACAACTGCGGCAAAAACACCCAGTGGGACAGATAAATGTCCTAGGTGGGCGGCATGTGGCCCGCTGGCTTTAGTTTGAGGATGCCTGCTCTAGAGCTTTGTAAACTTAGGGAACCAAGAACTACTGCTGCTTATGGCCCATAGGCTCTTTTGTTTGGCACAAAGAGGTTTGAAATGTACTAAATGCTAGTTGCTAGTATTTACAAATTAGGAGACTCATCCTAAAATCAGAATTTCAGACTTCTCTTGAAAAATCAGATCTGGCTCTGCTGCTAGGCCTCCCACATGATGTGAGTGGGCCGTAGCTGAGAAGCTGCTGGCCCTTTAGACTAAGCATGTTCTTCCATTCCTGCTGAGCCCTTGTAGGCTTTGAGTTGTGACACCTGCTTTCAATAATGCAAAATCATCCTCCTCTTGGATAAATTGATGCTTAAAATTATTGTGTATCTTTTAAATATAAATGATTATGAAAACCCACATAGCCTACTTAACATGAGGTCTTATAAAAATATTAGCAGTACTGTCTGGGATCAAAGGGTAGTAAAACTAAATTTAGAAGTGCCATATAGCAGCAATGATAAGGAGATGAAAACCGGGTCATATTTGCAATTACTGCATTCACATACTAATGATGATTAGCAGTTCCTTAGATGAAAGCTTCATATTTTACACGATTTTTATTGCTGTCTCTTCAGAGCTGTCTTGAAAATTAGCAGGATTTTATGACTTTGGTTGGCATTAGTTAAATGAATTGCATATCATAGTATTATTAACATAAACAAAATGAGAAGGATATGCTTTTGGATGTTAACCAAGCAAAATACAGGTCTGATATGAGTTAACATGTTCAAATGTTTTAATGCCTCTCAAGTCTATATTTTGTCTGTTGGGAAGTATCGAGGTATCAAATTTGTTAAGTAAACTTTACCTGCACAGTGCTCATGTCGTCTTATCCATTGACACATACTAGCATGCTTGAAGGTGCATGTGAATAGTCATGCATGTAGACTATGAGATTAGTAAAATATTTTGAAATCTAGATTTCATGAAGTATTACCAGTCATTCTGAAATTGCGCATCTTTTGCTTAATTTTTTCCCCAGTGTCGTCTGTGTTGGTGGAGATGGATCTGCTAGTGAAGTAGCCCATGCTTTGCTCCTTAGAGCCCAGAAGAATGCTGGAATGGACACAGATGGAATCCTAACTCCTGTCAGAGCACAGCTTCCACTTGGTTTAATACCAGCAGGCAAGGGAGTGGCCACAGATTCCTTAATTTGATCCTCCTCCATCTTTTCCTTTCTTACTTTCTAACCTAGACAGAGTTAAATGTACAGGCTTTAAATCTGAAAGATCCAAACTTCTGGCTTCCTGCTAGCAAATGTGAGACTTTGTACAAGTCATTTAACTTTGTTGAGCCTAATTTTTCTAATCTATAAAGTAGAGATAACACATATGCTATTCACTTCATTACAAGGTTATTAAAGTGTTAAATTAGATGGCTTGTGCAAAGGGTTTAATATGTAGTTAATCAATAGATGGGATAATTAACATTCTACCTTCCCATAAGCATGTCTAATGGTCACACAGTACCAGATAGGAAGTTTCAAAACAAGGATGCTCCAGTCAAACTGCTTACAATTACATATGAGGTAAAATGTCATAACTCGCATAACTGAAGTATAAACAGATAACTTTGAAAACGCCAAAAGAATTCCTTCTGACTAAAGGAGGAGGATCAGAGTGTTGGAGGGCAAGCTCCTTAAGGGCAAAGCTTTTTATTTTTTCAGCTGCTGACATTTCTTCAGCACCTAGAATGGAATTTGACACAGTGCATATTCAGTGGCACTTATTAAGTGAATGAATGTAAAGAAGACTTTATATAGTAAATGACACTTAGATTAGGCCTTAAAAATGGGTAGAACCTGATCTGAAAATATGAGAATGAGTTATTTTCTTGGCAGCAAAAATAATAAAAGCAACCGCAAAACCCAGGAGTGTTTGAGGAATAGAAAACAGGCTATTCTGTGGGAGATAATGGTGGCAAAATAGGCCCAACCATGGTGGCCCCTGAGGCCACAGTAGCGGATCTGAACTGTAGCAATAGGGAATATGGGATGTTTCAGAGCAAGGGAGTGACCTGATCGGAGTTTGTTCTAGGAGGATTCGTTCTGCAGCATGATGCAGAATGATTAGGTGAAGGGGGCAGACGGCAGAGGTCTAAGCCAGGGAGAATGGTTAGAGCAACACTTTGGTCCAGAAAAGAGGAAAATATTTTTCACAAGTTGATTATGTTATATAATCACTTATCCCATATATTATTTCAACAAATGATAGTGAAGGAGATTCATTATTTTTTTCTTTTTCATTTTAAAAACATCACATGTTAGGGCTTAAAAAGAGCAGAACATTTATGTTCCCCTCTGAAAATAGAAAATGATGCACATGGTTGAAAAATTCAATGTCAATTTGATAATCACATTCATCTAGTATGGATCTTAGTATACTTGGTATTGTTAAATTAAAAAAAAACACAAAAGATATTCGAATGCCCTTATATATAGTACAATATCTTTAAGAAAAGTAAGAATTTAAAAGGAGAGTGATGTTTGGATATATCCTTATACTTGTAAAGTATATATAGAAAAACCTATAATGGTTTCTAAGTAGAAGACAACAACATCACCTTGACTGAAAGAGAAAAAAGGATGCAATTGGGGCCATCTTTACATGTCATTTTATTTTTTGACTTTTTGGTGTCATGTTAGTATTTCTGGCTATGATGGTGGAATCTTTCCAAGATTTCCCTCCATGCAAAGTGTACGTGCTTAGGTAGCTGTTTCTCCTCATTAGTACTTGAATTCCTGAGGTCATTCATTAACTGCTCTGCATCAGAGTGGAAAGATGGGTGTCCCCACAGATACGCACTTGACATAAAGTGGGAGGTTGGCAACAGAAACTGGTGGTTATGCTTATGTTTTTCATCTGTAACTCAGATTTTTGTAAAGGAATAGCACTGCATTTTATCACTGTTATAATTTGTAAGCATATTTGTGATTTTGTAAGCATACTGTGTATTCCACGGATATTTGTAGAAATGCCATTTTAACACTTTTTGTTTTGAAGACACAGTATGCTGCCAAAACTCTGGTCATTGCACAGGAGTTCCAGCTTTCTAATTCCATCTAATAGGAGGAGAGAGTCATGTGTGGGATGTGTTTAATATGAGGACTCTATGCCTAGTCAGGGCTTTTGATAGAGAATGGGAACAAGAGCTAGGCAGGAGTTTCCAAGCTGAACATGAGACAGTCTGCCTTTGAAGCCATTTGCCTCCTGGAGAGAGACATCCAGAGGGAGAGTGTTTAGGAAATTACTCCACTGAGCCAACAGATGAAGCCGCTGAATTATGGTCCGACTCAAATGGATCAGATGTGGGGAAGCCTGTATTTGAACTGCTGGCCATTAGGAATGGTGTTTGTTGCCATGGGAACTGGTGCTAAGGAACTATACAGAGAGATTCCGATTAAAGGGGGGGTGGGCTGGATAGAGAAAAAGCCTGAGAGGACATAAAAATAAAAAAGCAATCCAGTTGTTGTAAAACAAGGCTCAGTCCACATACTGATGGCTGTGAACCATATATTCCTATAGAGTTTGCATAAATAAATTCATGCTTTCCAATTAATTTGAAGAGAATAAAATATTGCCGAGGGACTGTTAATTTCTATGATATTTCAGGCAAAGAACCAAAGTGTAGGTGCCGTTTTCATGAGAATTTTAGATATGCTTGACTAGGAAGTCATTACATCACATTTATCTGTTTGGATGTGGGAGACATTAACAGCCTTATGAATATTCATGGTGTCTGGTTAATTAAGTTAATTGTTCTGCAGAAGTGCTTGCACTTCCAAGGACAATTTTTTTTTCTTTCCTTTTTTTTTTTTTTCTTTCCTCTGCCTGGTATTTCATCAGTGATGCTTTGCGTGAGCTGCTACTTCTGGCCTTACTTTCTCGTACTTGGAACATTTCAGCAGTTCTGTGGAGGGAGTACTGGGCAAAGTGGCTGCTTGTGTTAAGAAAAATAAGTTTTCAGGCTAATTAAAATGTTTACCTTGAGGTAGAGCATTTATAGCTTTTGTGAGAACGTTAAAATTACACCGTTGTTATTTATATGAGCAGTATGTTCTTTTGGCATGTAGATGTCTTTTCAAATAGAGTCCAATTTCCTGAAACAAAATGTGATCCATCTTCCAGATTATCCAGACGAAATATAGAACAACTTATTGTTTTACAATTTTACCTACACTTTCTAACTTTTTTTTTTTTACAATGTGAAAAAACCACATTTAAAGACTAAGACATACATTCAGTAGACAATGACTAAAATAATTTTCTGACTTCTGGTCATATCTGTTAACACTGCCAAATTCTAAAGAATTAAAGAAAAGTTGCAAAGTTGGAGAGGACATACAAATTTAAAAAGCCATCCCTAGCATTCTAAAAGAATTTGTACTTGGGCACACTCAGGATACTTTAAATCGCAGGGAATAAATGGTCTTTATTTTCTTGAGTCATGATATGTGTCATTCCCTATTGCATGTGACAACATTACATTATGTGTTTTAATAGCCTTTCTAGAGGAATGCTTTTATGGTCTACTCCTAATTAACCATGGTAATGGAGGAAATGTGTTTCATGGAGTACTGTAATCCATCGATAATCCTAAATATCTCACTGTAATTATGTGGCCTCTTCCAAAACCTTTACCATAAATCTGATTGGGAAGCAAAATGGATTGATTTATTTCCTCTTTTCTCCTCCACCCATTCCAGATTAATTAGCAATTAGATAGCCAAAGGCTGTAGAGGGCCAAAAGATCACTGGAAAGGCCTGGGTACAGATCCACCAAGTAACAGGTTTCTACGCCACCACTACTTGTTTTCAAATCTTAGGAGCCCCTACAACTCACTTTGAAAACTTGCTAAAACACAGATACCTGAGTCCGCCCTTCACACATACACATTCTGATTCCATGACTTGGAGGTAGAACCCAGGAATTTGCATTTTTAATAAGGCTCCAGGTAATGATGCTGCTGCTATAATCAATGGCCCATACATTCCAGAATAGTGTCTCACCAAGTCACTGTGCATCGCCCAGCCACCTGGGGACCTGCCTTATAAACTGCAGACTCTGATGCACCATCTCTGGAATGGGGCCCGAGAGCCAATGTTTTTAAAATTTTTAATTTTCAATAATTACTGTTTTAATAGCCCTTATTCTTTGTTTTAAAATTGACAAAAATTATACCTATCGTGTACAATATAATGTCTTAAACCATGTACATTGTGAAATAGCTAAATTAAGCTACTTAACATATGTACATAATTGACATACCCATGTTTTATGGTGGGAACACTACACAAAATATACTCTGTTACAAGTTTTCAAATACATAATACATTGTAATTAATATTAACTATAGTCACCATGGTGTACAATAGATCTCTTGAACTTACTCCTCCTGATATTTTGCATCCTTAGACCAAGATATCTCTAATCCTCCCTACCCATAGCCCCTGGTAACCATCATTCTAGTCTGTTTCTAAGAGTTTAACTTTTTTAGATTCTACATATAAGTGAGGTCATGCGGTGTTTGTCAGTGCCTGGCTTATTTCACTTAGCATAATGTTCTCCAGGTTCATCCATGTTGTCACAAATGACAGGATTTCCTTCTTTTTTAAAGCTGAATAGTAATTCTGTTGTATACATACAGGCTGAGCATCCCTAATCTAAAAATCTGAAATCCGAAATGCTGCAAAATCTGAATATTTTGGAGCACTGACATGATGCCATAACTGGAAATTTTCACATCTGACCTCATGTGATAGGTGACAGTCAAAGTTCAGCTAAAACTTTTCATGCAAAAAGTCATTAAAAATATTGTATGAAATTGTCTTCCAGCTATGTATAAGTTGTATATGAAACAAATGATTTTATGTTTAGACTTGGGTCGTATCCCCAAGATATCTCATTATATATATGGAAATATTCCAAGATATGAAAACATTTGAAATCTAGAACACTTTTGGTGCCAAGCATTTTATATAGGGGATATTCAACATGTAACGTATTTTCTTTATTAATCTGTTGATGAACACTTCGATTCTGTATCGTGGCTATTGTGATCAGTGCTGCAGTGAACATGGGAGTGCAGATATCTCTTCAACATACTGATTTCTTTTCCTTTGGATTTATATCCAGTAGCGGGATGGCTGGAGCATATAGTAGTCCTATTTTTAATTGTTTGAGAAACATCCATACTGTTTTCTATAATGGCTGTACTAATTTACATTTCTACCAACAGTATGCAAGGGTTCTTTTTCCCCCACATCCCCACCAACACTTATGTTTAATTTTTTTGATAGTAGCCATTCTAACAGGTGCAAGGTACTGTCTCTTCAAGGGTTTAATTTGCATTTGCCTGATGATTACTGATGTTGGACATTTTTTCACTTACCTTTTGGCCATAGTATGTATTCTCTGGAGAAAAGTCTGTTCAGGTACTTTACCCATTTTAAAATCAAGTTATTTGTTTTCTTGCTATTGAGTTATTTGAGTTCCTTGTATATTTTGGATGTTAACTTATTAGATGTGTGGTTTGCAAATATTTTCTCCCATTCCATAGGTTGTCTCTTTACTCCATTGTTTTGCTGTGCAGAAACTTTTTGGTTTGATATAATAGATATCTATAAAATAAGGAATCTATTTTGCTTTTATTGCCTATGCTTTTGGGATCCAATCCCCCAAAATATTTACCTAGACCAATAGAACAAAACTTTTCCACTATTGTTTCTTGTAGTACATTGATGATTTTAGGTCTTGCATTTAAATCTTTAATTCATTTTGAGTTGATTTTTATGTACGATGTGAGATGAAGGTCTAATTTCATTCTTTTGCATGTGGATATCCAGTTCTCCCAATACCATTAATTGAAGAGATTGTCCTTTTCCTTTGTGTTTTCTCGGCACCTTTGTTGCAAATCAGTTGACCATAATTACTTGGGCTTATTTCTAGCCTCTGTTTTCTATTCTAGTGATCTATGCATCAGTTTTTATGTCAACACCATGCTGTTTTGATTGCTGTAGCTTTGTAGTATATTTTGAGGTCAGGTATTATGCTGCTGCTAGCTTTGCTTATTTTGCTCAAGATTGCTTTGCCTACTTGGGGTCTTGTGGTTCCACGGAAACTTTATATATATTTTTTCTATTTCTGTGAAAAAAAGCCATTGAAATTTTGATAGGAATTGCACTAAATCTGTGATCATTTTGGGTAGCATGGACATTTTAACAATATTAATTCTCCCAATCCATGAACACAGTATATCTTTCCATTTGTTTCTCCAATTTCTTTCATCAGTGTTTTATAGTTTTCAGTGTACAGGTCTTTAATATTCTTGGTTAACACACTGATTGCCATACTAGAAAAAAAATGTCCCTGTGACCATTGTGTTTCATTAAACAAAATCCTTTCTATTTTGTTATTTTTTGTTTGTTTGCTTTCTGTGCATGAGTCATACGCAACGCAGTCTGCGTTTTTAGATTTAATTTGTCAATATTAATTGTAACAATAAGAACATCAACAAGTAAGAATTTAACGAATCAATTGCAGGGTTTTGTTTCACGTGGCCCTGGAGTTTAAAACTAGCCTGAGTTAAATACAACTCACAATGGCAGTCAATGTGTTAACTTTATTTCTAAATATTTTATGTTTTTCATTGCTATTATAAATGGGATTATTTTCTTGATTTCTTTTTCAGATAGTTTGTTGTAACTGTATAGAAGTGCTACTGATTTTTGCATGTTGGTTTTGTATCCAGCAATTTTACTGAATTTATTAGTTCCAACAGATTTTTTGGTGGAGTTTTGAGAGTGTTCTGTATAAAATAAGGATCATGTTGTCTGCAAACAGGAACAATTTAACTTCGTCCTTTACCATTTGGATGTCTTTTATTTCTTGCCTAATTTCTTTGGCTAGAACTTTTAGTAGTATTTTAAATGGCAGTGGTGAGAGTGGGCATCGTTGTCTTCTTAAGGAACAAGACAATGTTCCTTAATTCGTGAGAGTCACCATTTTAATAAGTGCTCCATTGTTGCCACTCCTGCTTGACTGTGGGCCACACTCTGAGCAATAAGAGTCAGAGCATAACTTGCCTTTCGGCAGATCATTTGGAACCAGATTTCCAATTGGTTAAGCTGAACTTCACTTTTCTTTGCATTGTAATTACTAGAGCTCTGGCTTATTATGTTTATTAATAACAATAATTAAATATGCTTTTAAATAATTATTAAATAATACTTATATATTTGACTAATAATTATGATTTTAAAGACATCTTGGTTGATAATGGCTAGAGCTGCCACAGCTTCTCCAACTGAACAACCTCAGCACATATCAGTTCAGTGTGACAAGGGTGATTATGTATGACCACATAGGAAAGCTTCTGATTAATGAAATCTAGAGTTCTAGCCTTTACCTTGATAACTGGCACACACCAGATCCATGCTTTCATGGCTCTCAGCTATTATGGGACTGACTACTTTCCCATATTCTTTAATTGAAGATAAATTGTAGCTTTATTCACTCTTAATAATTTTAAATCTTCTTTAACCTCCTGGGAATGAGAGGGGCAAGCTGGTATTTTTCCCTTCTGAAGTAGGCCTGTGTCCTCGATTTCGGTCACACATAAACATTATAGGGGCTTGACTCGGGGAGCTCTTTCCCTCTGTTAGGCTGGTGGGAAAAAGCCATGTGGGTCTTAAATTATCCCAATGACCATGAAAAACAGAAATCATAATGTCTCAAGTATAAATCTTCATACATGGTAAATACCATGGAATTAAACATTTTCTTCTAGGAGAACATTTGTCAGATAATAGAGAGGATTCCCATTTGGGTGCAAGCTTATCTCTAAGATTTATTAAGTGTCTTTAGAATGCCTTTTGGATTTTATAGTGACTTTCCATTTTTTCATAGTTATTTGGATTTTCTTTTATTTAATTATGCATTTGTTTCTGTTCTCTAGAGCCACCCTTCTGCTGTTGGCGCTTATATTGGTGTAGAAGTGAAAAGCCCATTCATTAAAGTTGGATGGAGTAGGCTTTGATAGAGTTAGCATTTTGGGTGTGGGAAGTAGACATTTATGATCAAAAAAGCTGTAAGCAGATACTATAAACTATTTTTAAATTTTTAAGTCATTTAAAGATTCAACAAATAATTCTACAAACATTTGCACATCTATGCTGTGAATGAAAAACCTCAATTCATATTTTCATTAAATTTTCTGACTTTATAAACTTTATTTTTCATCTGCACATATATAGTGACATCTATATACAGTAAGAACAAATGTTAATTTAAAACATGTGCTGTACTGATAGTGCATATTTTAAACTTGCCTTGCCAGGATCTACCAATGTATTGGCACATTCTCTTCATGGAATCTCTCACGTGGTAACTGCAACTTTGCACATAATAATGGGTAAGAGTTCTTCCAGAGATGTTTGTTTTATAATGAAGTTTTTATTTATACAAGGAAGGCTATTTTATTTCCATCAGATTTGTTTAAGGAAAGGCAGCTTCTCTGTCTCTGAAAGCAGAGAAATGTTTGATGAAAAACAAAAGTCAGTGAGGCACATCTTTGCTGTTTGGACTGCCTATCTTAAAAATACTTCGTAGAGAGCAGTGAATGAAGTTTTACCATAATCTTGATAGAAAACAATATTGTAATGATGCTCAAAATCATAATTTTACAACCAGATGAAGAAAATCCATGCATACCATTTAAGTATATCTAACACTGATGTTTGACTGTACCAAGACTCTAGGACTAGGATTATGTTATTAAAAGAAAATGGTATGAAAAAAAAATGTCAGCAAGTGTATGTTCATAGGTGTTTTATTATCCCAATTGATAGAAAGCAGATAAGCTCAGATAATTACAATACAGAACTATTGTTAAATCTGAGTTTACTTTGTACGTTTACTTCAACTTCACTTTCTTAAACATGTTTTATGTGAAATAGCAATACACTGCAAAATGTACTGTTTTGTGTTTCTTCATTTGGTACCTGAACAAGTTACAAATGGCAATTGCAGTAGTTACAGGTAAAGTGAGCTGGAGAGAAAGTGAAGACATTCATTATGGTATACAGGACCTTGAGATATTCTCCTACAAATAAATAAGGTCTCTTTTTATAAATAAATAAATAAATAAGGTCTGCCACTGCTGTTTTGACAACTAGCCCGACTGTGCTCACTGATTGACTAATATTTAACATGATATTCAAGGGCACATACAACTGGTCGATGTCTGCACCTTTAGCACCACTAACAAGCTGCTTCGCTTTGGGTTCTCTGCCATGTTTGGCTTTGGTGGAAGAACTTTGGCTCTTGCAGAAAAATATCGGTGGATGTCCCCTAACCGACGGAAAGATTTTGCTGTGATGAAGACACTGGCAAAACTTAAGTAAGGCTTTTTCTGAAACCAAATATTTTGTATCCTAGGGAAAATGACTATCAATAACCAGTTTCACTATATTTCAGGCCAGAAGACTGTGAAATATCTTTTTTACCATTTAACAGCTCTGAGGATGTACAAGAGAGGTGGGTAAAAGTTTGAGGTAATATAGATATCTGTATCTTTCTTGAAAGTATAAAACATTTTGATATAAAACATTTACCAGAATTGTGATCTTTGTTTTTTTTTTATTATATACTAGTAAAGAATATTAGAATCATGGACTCCTATGGGTCCTATTAAGCATGTAATTTAGCTTCCATCTTTAGAAACAACCATCCATTCATTCAGTAGCTGTTTGAGTGCCTAGTATATGCCAGGTATTTTACATACAACATTGAACCAAAAAACAAACAAAACCCATAGTTTTATCCCTTATGAAAATTTTAGTCATGTGGAATACAATTGTTTCTAAATTTCAGAATATTATGGGGGTACAAATGTTTAGATTACATACATTGCCTTTGCTCCACCTGAGTCAGAGCTTCAAGCCTGTCCATCCCCCAGACGGTGCACACCACACCCATTTGGTGTGAATATGCCCATCCTCACCTCTCTGTTCCCACCTGCCCGACACCTGATGACTACTACTATATATGCACATTAGTGTTGATCAATTAATACCAATTTGATGGTGAGAACATGTGGTGCTTGTGTTTCCATTCTTGTGATACTTCACTTAGTACAATGGGCTGGATCCAGCTCTGTCCAGGATAATACAAGAAGTGCTAGATCATCATTGCTATTTTGTGGCTGAGTAGTACTCTATGGTGTGTGTGTGTGTGTGTGTGTGTGTGTGTGTATACACACCACATTTTATTAATTCACTCAGCTCTAGTCTTTTAAAAATACGGAAAATCACTGTTCTTTATAATACTATTTTTCCTTTTTTTATTTTTTCATTTTAAGACACAGGGTCTTGCTATGTTGTCCAGGCTGGTCTGGCTGGTCTCAATCTCCTGGAGTCAAGGGATCCTCCTATATCAACCTACCAAGTAGCTGGGACTACAAGTGCATGCCACCTCACCCAGCTTCTATTTTACCTTTAAATAATCAACACATTATAATGTTGGCAGTAACAAAATTATTCACATATTTTTACTTACTATTTAATTAAGAAAATATTTAATGTATGTAATGACGATTTTTGTCTAATTTTCTCATTTTTAATAGATGCTACTGTTTTGTGTGACCTGTTTTTATTTCTTTGTTTCTTGTTTTTAGGAGGGCACAGGGATCTCCCAAATCTGGTGAGTCCAAAAGTATCTCCTTGAGAACTGAGCCAGGCTCTGTTGGCGTTTTGCTCTGGTGAGGGAAAGTAACCAATCACTTCCATTACCTTTAGACTGTAATGATCAATGGCAAATGATCCAGGGTCAGTTCTTGAATGTCAGCATTATGGCAATTCCTTGCCTGTGTTCAGTGGCACCTAGAGGCTTGGCACCTAATACCAGGTTAGTAAGTGTTTTTATTGAACCATTGATATATTTATTATAAACCAGTTTTTTTTTCAAAAAAAAAAAAAAACTGGCCAGCTAGAAACTTATTAGGAGATAGTCCCTCATTCCATAATACTGGAGATTCTAAGGGATTTATCATCATAGTAGATTGAGAACTGCTGAACTAGAAAAATTATCAATCACTGATGTTTTAATATCACTGAAGCTAAAGTAATACTCCCTAGCTTGTATTGACATAAGTTTATTTTATGCTTGCTTTATTTAGTTAGTTGTTGAGAACATTATATTAAATTCTGATATTTCTTGTGAAAGTCTTTGCTTTCCCACTTCAATGCAAACATAAATATCCTTAGCATGAAAAGTAGGCGTGTGTGTGTATCTGATACATTCAGTAAAAGAAAACATTTCAGTTTTATTTAATGTGAATAGTGGTGCTTGTGAATCTACTGCCAGCATTTTCAATTGAATAAGTCATGAGACACTTTATATATAATTGTATCCACAGGATATAGACATTCCTTCTATTGCACATTCTTTTTAAGCAGCTGTCCATTATGGGTCTGAAAATATTTCTCTTCTAAATCCAATCCCTTAGAGCAGTGGAAAAAAAAACGATCATGTATGTAGTGAAAGATAGTCAACTCTAGATTTGCACTAGAAGTGGAGTAAAAGAATGACTTATGTACTTTGGCAATTTATAACATTTTAATGATTAACTTCAACTTCCCTGCTACATATTTAATCAGAGTGATTAACAACCAGAAAAAAGGATGGATATTTAATTTCTTCCTTGGCAATTGATATAAAGGTAATAAACAGGAGCATGCAAAGTTAGTGGGAAAAAGAGAGAAACTGCAAACTTTGATATTAAAAGCCCAGATGGCAGGGTCCTCATTAATTATGTCTAGTGCTGAAACTTGAAAAGAGTATTTTGAAGGTTGTGTGATTTAGAAATTGAGCTTGGTTGTTTCCTCCTCACACGCTCAGAAATCATAGGTAGCTGTGTGCTTCCCTAATGTAGTTTCCTCCACTGAAAGTTGAAGACGTGGCTAGCTGACCAAGGAGCCAGGTCGGCAGGACTTCAGGCAACGTTTAACCCTGCTGGTTCAAAAACCTCCATGGGAGGTAGCCCTGTTTTTCTAGGAGCAATTGAGTCATAGCTCCTTCAAAGCCGCTCCATCAGTGTTCAGCTTGCCTGGAATTCCACTGCTGACTCTTCAGGTATAATCAGTATTGATACATTTTTCACAGAAAGCTAATGAGAGACGTCTTCTGTGGATTATAATCAGAACATATTATCTTTGCAAAGGGGTTTAGACCAAGCTCAGTTGAACAGAGATTTTTCAGAGATGTAGCTTTTGAATGATTCTGGATAACTGAATAGGAGATTACACTTTCAGCCTTTTTTTTCCCCACTATAAAGAATAATTGACTTCAGAATACCTCAGTGCAAATTGCTGATATGTACTAATATTCTAAGTATTCGAAGATTAAATGTCTCAACTTTGTGAAATATTTAGAGCAGTGTGAGGCACATAGGGTGTGTTAAAATTACTAGTAAATATTGGAAAGTAGGCACAGGGTCAAGCTTTACATGTGTACGCAATTTTTAAAAATAAAAAGATGCATGATAACACTATCCTGAATGCTTTGGTGCTGTTAATTTTCAGTTGCAAAGAGGAGGCACAATGGACAGAAGGGGTACTAGGCCTTGGAGGTTATGAGCTCTGGTGCTGATAACCACTTTGTTTTTCTCTGTGTGCCTTTGAACAAACCACTTGAACTTGAGGTTTTCTTTTCCTTCCACATGAAACGAATGAATGATGAAATAATCTACAAAGTCCCTTACAGCTCTAACCTGAGTTTCCATGAGTTTAAGAGACCCCTTTTATGCCATTTGTTATTCTTGGATTAACCTCAGATTTGCACTGAAATCAACCTAAAAGTCATTTGTGTGTATCTCTGCAACTGCCTCCTATGGCTTGCATTTGTGAGTGGCTGTTTTGGCACCTCTGAATTTTCAATTATATTTGGTGGGACAGTTATGCAATATTAAAATGCTCAGTCATATAACTGAACGTGTGTGGTAGCATTTGTTCACTGCATTTCATCCATCCAAGGACCACTTTGATTTGTTTCATTTCCTATGTCACCTAGACCTTCTGCCCATAAATATTTAAACCACACATTAGATTTTATAAAATGTTGACCTATTTGTTATACCACTTGTATATACTATTTTATAATACAACTTTAAAAAACAGTTTCACATTTATAATTCCTAATTACACTGGATTTTAAATTATGTCTTGATATTGTGAGTAGGATGCATTATGGTTTGTTTTGTAAATAGCCCTAATGTAAGAGCTTGTTGAAAAGGAAGCCAATAGTTTAATAAAACTAATTTTGAGGGCTGCATCATTTAAAAAACAACACAGCAAGATATGGCATAAAAATTTTAGGTAAATTTAATGTGATAATTTGTTTCTTGGACAATAGTTCCAGTAAATAGTATGTTTGTTATAAGGAACAATGTGGAAAAATTTTTGATGTAATCTCTTAATAAACTTCTCAATGTCTAATACAAATACTTAATTTTAGATTAAATAATGGAAGCATGGCTCTTATAATTGCACGAAACACTTCTCGGCCAGAATTTATAAAACACCTGAAAAGATATGCCAGTGTGAAAAATCAGGTATGGTAAATTCTTTTTGTTACTTATTTGCAAAGCTATTAATCATGGAGAGAGATGTTACAAGAGTTGACATCAAATCCTGCCTCGTAAGAAGGCTTTATTTTCCTTTGAACACATTAATATTTTTTTCCAATCTATTTCATTCAAACTTTGAAAAGCATACAGCAATATTCGCCTTTTTTTGAGCTATGAGTTAGTTTTATATACGTGCATATATGTATGCACAAAAGTAAAATAAAAATGTATTGTTATATTGCAATATGAAGTAAATTAAGGAAGAAATTACTTACTCGGGCTGTTGTTCAGAATGAAAAGTAGTGAAATCTGATATTTTTATCCTTCTTGATAGCATAGCAGCTGTGACTTTCTAAAGTTTGATCTTTAGGTTTTCCTGAAATTGTTTTTGCAGATTTGTCTGTGCTCACTGTTTGAAATAGATTTGCAGATAAATATTTAAAAACATACCATATTTATACAGATATTTTATTCAAAAGTAGAATGTGGAGATACATATTTCCACCTGTGATTTGTTTTAAGTTGAAACACTAAGTACCAAAAGCCATATTTTGGCAAATACTTTGACCCAGTTATTAGGAAACTGATCCTGGATTTATGTGAATTTCTGAAATTGTGAGTCTTTAAAGTACATAGGTATGAGTGTAAAACCCTATAGTTGCACAGATTCTTAAAAGTATAAAATGATGCTTGGATGGGGTTGGAAGAGAACAGATGGGAGGAGGAGGAAAGTAAATCCAGCCAATGACTAGCTGCTGAATCTTGCTTACATGCCTTAGCCATTGCAAGGCTCTCAATTTTGGTCTCACTATAATTTCAAACTTTCTTAGGCTATCTGCATGAAGTTTGAATCCTCTTCTGCCTGGTATATTATTTGATCAACATTTATTGAGCAACTAACTGGACTGTTTGGGAAATTAAATCATGAAGATTAGATATAGCCCCACTTTCATGAAATATAAACCTCTAAGGAGACAAAGTAGATGAGCATATATTAATATAATGTGAGCCTAAGTAACAACTCTGTTTTGGGGAAATCTAAAGATTTATTGATTTTTTTTTCAAAGGAATGTATACCTTTTCAGATTTTACTAGACTTGTAAGCATTAAAAACGACTTTATTGTTTTTCTTAATCTAAAAGCAGTACCAGTTCATTGCTCTTTTTAAGTCAGAAAATAGAAACAAGAAAACAATATTTAAAGCACTTGAAATTCCATGTTCCTGGACATAATCAGTATCATTACCTTGGTATAAATTTTTCCTAATCCTTTTCTATTAACTCCTATCTGAGAACTTAAATGAGTATTAACCTATTAGTGTATCCCTGAGAAGCACTATGTTTATTTTGGGGGAGACATCTATTTTGCACAAATTGTATATGGAAGGTTTTATAGATTTTTATTTTATGAAAATAGCTTTCTTTTGATTTTAAAAGCAATGCTTTCCCTAGACATAATAGCATATAGAATATAATGAAAAGGATTCTAAGTGAGATCATGTTATGCAAGATCTATGTTAGCCTATTTTTCTCATGTATGCTACCAGTCATATCTTGCTTTTAATGTAAGAAACTATTGCCTGTTCCATTAGACTTTAACTTTTGAAAATAGGTAAGTCAATCAGAGTTAAGTCTAATGGAACAGGCAATAGTTTCTTACATTAAAAGCAAGATATGACTGGTAGCATACATGAGAAAAATAGGCTAACATAGATCTTGCATAACATGATCTCACTTAGAAAACATTTTCCTAAAGACATAGAATCATTTTCATTATATTCTATATGTTATTTTTCCACAAATCTGGAGTCTAGATGGCTAAGGAGGTGTCTGTAGGTTTAGTTTCTTCTGTGGCCACTCTCCCTTTGGCTTGTATGTGTCTGCCTTCTCACTGCACCGACAAGTGGTCTTTCTTCTGTTTGCAGACTTCTTAGGGGGATACCAGTCATACTGGATTAGGGCCTACCCTAAAGATCATTTTAAGTTTATCACCTCCTTAAATATCTTATCTCCAAATACTGTTCCACTCTGAGGTACCAAGGGTTAGGATTTCAACATAGGGATGGAATTGTGCCCCCTTCCCTCAATTCCTAACCGTCATGCTAAAATTTTGCAGTTGCTTGACCATGACATACCTCTGTATTTTTGTAAATGTTTCTTCTCTCCAGACTTTTCCTTCTGCTGCAGGCTAACTTGTCTGTGTTCTTTAAGGCTCCTTTTGTTTTTATAAGCTCACTTTAAATGGGAAGCTTTCCCAATGTCCTCAGCTATAAAAATGTCAGCATACATGTTGACATTTACTTGTGAGAGAGGGCACAGTGGACTTTGATTTGTAGTAGCACTGAGAGATAAAGCAACTAGCGTGATTATTTGCATTTGTTTTATTTAGTTCAATTTTCCATTTGTTGAGACTTACACTGTTGCAGAAGTAATAGTTCATCCAAGGAATAATTCCAGCAGATACAATCCAGAGGAAGAACCTCGTGAAACTGCTTCAGAAAACAGTTTTCCTTGGAATGTGGATGGTGATTTAATGGAAGTTACATCAGAGGTCCATGTTCGGTAAGTCCAGTTTTTTCACTGCTTCTTATGTCCATCAGTAGACCCCAAACCAATAGCATTAATATAATGAAAGCCCTTTTCTCTCAACTATCAAAAAGATACATGTACAACTTTCGATGAATTAAACAACAAACTTACCTTTATTCACCGTTACATAGATCCTAAGGCATTTTCTTTGGCATTCTAAATTATTCTGCACAAACAGTATAGATAATGCATGTTATAGTTTCCATTTTGGATTTTGAAAAACTGATCAAGATCTTAAACCTCCGAAGCCCTCTTAGTAGATTAAAATTTAATCCTTCTTTTAGTTTTCTCACCCATTACTCATAACAGTTTGTGTTCAGCAATTTTCTTTTATCCAATCTTTATAAACAATTCACTTACTTGAACATAAGAAACAGTTTACATATTATTTAGTTGAGCAACTGGTATATACAGGTTTAGGAACCTGCAAACTCATTCTTAGTAGGCATTATGACTCAATGGGTAGATGTGTTCTATAGGCACAATTGACTGTCTTACAGAGGCAGTAAGAGCATTAAGTCAAGGGAGAAATAACACTAGTAATTACTAGTGTTATCAGGCCCCCTCAGTTTTCTAGATTGCAGCTCTATCATGCATGTCTGTGGGTTATACCACACTCAGCTGTATGTGTGAAAAATAACTGATAGGTTGATGAAATAAAAAATTATACATATTCTTTTCTTTACAGATTACATCCAAGACTTATTAGTCTTTATGGAAGAAGCATAGAAGACACAAATGATTCCAAAGTAACATGTAATTGTTTATAAAAGAAATGTGTAAAGTAGAATTTTAGTATGAAGGAATGTAGCCATGTTTTCAACAGATATTTTTAAGGAAAATATTTTTGATGTTATCTTCTGAGGCTTTAAAAATCAAGATGAAAAATATCAGTGCAGGTTTTTATGATTTCTATTGGAACTGAAAAAAACATTTAATGTACTTACACCATGGTGATGCCTAAGTTTTATCAATATTTAAATAATTCCAAAGTGAAATCATTTGGATTCTTTCATTCTGCAGGTTTTGAGCTCATCAATTCTAATGCTAAATTTCCTATAGCCTGGTACAAACACCACAGAGATTATGTAAGACTGCCCTGATTTTACTGATCCAGAGAAGTTAAATTTTAAAATCACACAGCTAGTTAGTGATAAAAGCAGAACTAGAACCACTTCTTCGAAATATCGCCAACAAAGAATAACCCATATTTCAGTGATTATGGTACCAATTTTGAAGTTTTAAAAATTCATCATACAGGGAATAAAGTTGATAACATTTTATTTTGAACTGTATCGTCCTAACTGGGCAAAATTTAGTCCACTAGGTAGTTGTGTTTCTCTACCTGAGAGGCATGTGTTATTGTGCTCAGTAATCCCTGAAATACAGTCATTTCTGAATAGAATGAAATCAAATTTAGAGACCATCCCTGAGAAGGCAGTTCTAAATTAGGGCTTGATTTTTTTTTCTACCAATGATCTTAAATATTATTCTGAAAGAACTTTATAATGGTAAAAGCATAAAATATCTTTAATGTCATCCTGTTGGTACACACTCAGGAAGATTTGGCTCGGGTTTCACTGCTCAAATGCCATCACAAATCTCAGTCCATTCCTCACCTCTGGGAAGGATGGCTGGTAACAGAGCCTTCATATAAAGAAATTTTCAAAATTTGGACACAGGTTTCTTATAAAGTCCAGACAAAAAAATTGCATTCTACAGTTATTAGTATCTAGATCATACACATGAAATAAATATTACAAAAACGACTATTTGAACATGAAAAGTATTAAAAATCAGAAGAAAGCTATTATTCCATTTTAAAAAGAACCTCATATAATATGAACAAACTCAAATTTTAGCTAGAATTTAAACATTTCATAGACACTTTGTCTTTTATATTCACTGTATAAATTAAATGAATATTTTTCTTTCTCTGTGCACAACAGAACACTTTTGTAGACCTGATTAAAATATATTTGAAGAGTAACAGAATAACATCCAAGCAAATATTTTTATTTGCTTAATTATCCAGTACCCAATATGTATGATGTATTGGCCCCCTATTCAAGCATTGATTTTTTAAAATCATTAGTGAGGTAAAGTTCTTGCATTTTTTACATCAGCTAAAGTGCACTATTTGTAATCTGCTGTTTCAGAATATAAATAATGTGGTTTTAAAAAAATTTACCCCTGGGTACTCTTTAAGAGGACTAGTGGATTTATACCTAAATAAACACAGATTCTTTAAAAAATTTATGTATATGTACAGTAATGGGGGGAAAAACCCCATCGGTATATAAAATTAAGTATCCAGAAGTCATATTACAACTAAAGGTCTTTAAAGGTAAAAATCACTTTAAAATGATAATCGTCCTCTTTCATTCATTAGAATATTTAAAAAACAGCGCTTTGCAAAATTCTACTAAATATTTTTAAAAAACATATTTCAGTGGGATTTATTTTACCAAGGTGAGTGCATACAGTAAATCATATTTCCTTGAAAGATATTTTATGTCCAAGACTTCTCCAATCATGTTGTTTAATTTGTCAATATGATTTAAATTTCAAGATATCTTCAAGGGTTTGTTTTTCTTGAATAAATTGAATGCTTTAGTGTTTTTCTACCCATTTAAACACTGAAAGATTAAGTATTACCTTTGCAGATCTTCTTTCTCAAAGGGTAATCATTGCTTAGGTTTCCCCTTACATTAAGACATATGCCACCAGATTGTGAATAAAAGTTGTACATGGAAGAAGTCTGAGCAAAATTGATGTTTTCTTATAAACAGTGTCTTGTCTTTGTTATGACTGGAGTCTGTTTTCCATTCTCTCGATTTGAAAGAAGTCTTTAATCATCATTATCACTTTTACTATTGATATAACTCCAACTGTCTCTTCTGTTTTCTTGTAGGATAGATTTGTATTGTCTTTTAAAGAAGCCAGCCTGAAAATAGCATTGCATAATCACCAGTTATATAGTTATAAACATTCATATCTGTTTACTATACTCACATCTAATCAAAATGTCTTACACTGTGTCCCATGCTACACTAATCATGAAGGCTTTCAACAAATGCAATTAGTAAAAATTAGTTTGGGACATATTAAGTTAAAGAAACATTTTTGTTGTTAAAGCAGGACTTCTCAGTGATACCAGATTCTCTCCAAAATTGACTTGCAATATTTTCCAAATGTTCTTTTTAAAAAGAACATCTTTCAAAGCAAGTTATCTTTAAGAAGCCGTATTTTTCTAGAAAGACTTTGGTATTGAAATTAGAAGAGATCAGTATTATGTATTCACCTAGCAATATAAAAAGTTTTTTAAAACTTAACATTAAAATACAGAAACATTTAAATCTAATAACTTGGGAACCACAAATTAGCTTTGAGAAAATAAAGAATGGCATTTTGAGTGGTTTAGTATTAATTATTAAAGGCTTACCTTCCACATAACATATGAAATCAATAAAAGTACAATAAGTCCAAGTAGCAAGCTAATTGAAATAATCACTATGGTGAAATGACGTTTGGGTCTTTGATGATGTAATCCTTCCAGAAGAACCTACATGAATGAATTAAGCAAAAATTTAAAGAAAAACTCACCAGGTTAGAAACTTCTTTACATTTCCTTTGAGGCCCTCAATAACAACTACCCACCCCATCTTCTAGCTGGTTCTAACATACCATAGGAAACATTGGTAAGTGTTTAGCAGAAACTGAGTGGAATGCTATTCCTCCAATCCATTCTGTTCTCACTGCTACCAAATTCACCCCACTAAAGTGCACTGTTCCCTCCTGCCAGCTATGGAAAATGCCAACTCTCAGTGAAGTATTCAAAGTCCTTCATGGTATGGTCATACTCTACTTTCCTGACTCAGGTATTCAAAAGGAGATAATTAAACATCCTTGCAATATTTTTCCCTGCAATTTTAATGTACCAGTTAAAAGGGTAATCTTACATGTGCAACATTCTCATCCTCGTTTAGTTCAATAACTTTTGGATTTGGTTCTGGAAAAGCTGTTGCTCTTATTTCAAACTTGAGTGCTGAAGTCTCATCCTGTTTAATAAAAGATCAGTGTAGCCTTATTTCATGAAGACATAAATAGAAGTAATTTCTCAATTTATCTTCGATTTATTTCACCATTTGTAAATTACAATGCTGCCTTTGGTTGCAAAGGTGTGGTCTTGGTATTAATTTATATGGCATCATTTCATTGAAACCCTTTTATTAAACATGCTACTTTGAGATAACTTGATTTAAATATTAGACTATAGTAAGAAGTTACTAGTTTCCAATGTTATTTTCCTGAATATTTAATTTTTATCCCCAAACTACTTTTTTCATCTGATAAACATTTCTTCAAATCCATTTTATTTGGGTTTCTTTTTCTTTCTATATTCCACTTAATATATTAATGGCAAAATCTGATGCAAACAGAATTCAAATATAAAATCAGTGTATGAAGTCAGAACTTTACTATCTAAAGTAGACACTTTGTAACCCAGAATCCATGGAGTATGGGTAATCTGTGGATGGGCTTCATAGATTGTACGCATCTTTAGGAGATATTTTCATGAATGCATTTATTGGGGGAGATGAGAATATATTCTTTAGTCAGATTCTTAAAGAGGGATATGACCCTCAAGAATTAAAAAATACTGTGCAAAGGTTAAGTAACATTTTAGAGCTGAAGATAAATTACAAGTTTTACTTAGATCCAGAGCAGTGGTCTCAACAGTGAGGATTTTATCAGCTAGGGGTATCTACAGTGAGCCATGTCTGAAGATGTTCCTGAGTGTCAGAATTTGGAAGGTGGCATTCCAGTACCTAGTGTATAGAGGCTGAGGATGCTCTTAAATGCCCACTGTTGAGAAACTTGGATCTAGAATATGAGAAGGCAAACTGCAAAAGGTTAAATGACTTACTCATGGTCCTATGATTTAGTTTTTAGCACAACTAAAACAGACATGTCTCCTTTGCCTGTCTGCTCTGTCTACCTCTTGCCCATTGTCTGGTAATTTCAAAAATTCCACTTAAAATATAACAGCTGCTACTTCCTTTGGCTTACTGTGTGCCATGCATTATTACAAAGTGCTTAATAAAAATCATTTAATCTGCAGCACCCCTGAGACACAGACATTATCCCTCCTGAACATATGAGGAAGCTGAAACACAGAACTCCAGATAAAACTAGTTTTATCTCAAAGTACTCATACATATACATGTTTCTTTCTAGGAAGAAATCCAACATATATTAATTTTTTTTTAATTCAACCTTTCAAAGTTCATTATTTTAAAAGTATATTTTTGTTATTGTATTTATTAATGTTTAAGTTTGATTTTATGAATGCTTTAGTTTGCCTTAGCTTTATTTTAAAAATATTAGATTATTAAACATAATTTAAATCAGTTTGGAAAGAATTTTAGGGTTATATTAAATGGTAGGGTAGTCAATTTCTTTGATTTAATCAAGGTTCATAGGCAGTTGGTCATGCTTTCTGAAATTTCTTAATTTCATAGTCTATTTTAGTCTTAATTATCTGTTTAATTACTAAAGTGTTGTCACTTAGTCAATGTAGACAGCTGAAGTGATAAATAGAAATACAATTTTAGAGTTTTACTCCAAAATTTTTATATCTTCTTAATTTGCTGAATGCCTCTGTAAAATGATTAAATTCATGGATTTTATATGAACTTGTCCATAGACTTACCATTTCTAAAAGGGATGGCCGGCCTTCCAACTGAATGTGAACACTGGCTTCTTTTCCACTTTCCATTCTCCCAAAATTGCATAAGAAATTTAAACAATGGGGAT